AAAAAAAAACGAAAAATCCCCAACTGTGCGCTCGACCTTACAAATTTTCATGGCACTTGAAGTTCACCATCCAGAAATACTGAACAGATTCGAGTGCATTACTTCTATGGAGTAAATAAAAGGGATTATGCGAAAATTGCTTGACTCCACTTCAAGGTGAAAAATTTGGTTACACGCTTCTTATAGAACAACAATGAACCCGAATGGGAAAAAGTTTCTTGAGAAAGCTAAAACGATCTCGAAGCAAGGGATAGACGCCAAATCTCGGTGCTTCTCTTTAGACTCCAAAAAAACCTTCGGAACTTTAAGGAAAATTGTAGCACCTTACAAGACCCCAAATTTGAACAAAATTTTTTTCTCACTTTCTACAAAGTTGTCCAAATTGGTGAACATAATTCCAGAAAAAAACTATCTTGAAGTTGAGGAAATACCTGAACATAAGGCGACAGCCTTCGAATCCATAGGCTCTGCTCCACAGTCAAGTCCCTCGAACTTCCACAGGCATGTATCATTCGGGATCCGACTCCTTAGTTCCGCCGTCCATATAAAGGACTCGCAGCTGGTCAAAGGATGTAGCCACCGTTCGCCATGACGAGATATCGAAAATGCCAGGAATATGCACCAAGAAGGCGGTAACCACCACGATTTCCAAAGTGACCACCTTTACTGGCATCTCACCGCTAATCGCTTACATCTGTAGATGATGCTTCGTCAAGACCGTGTTAGAAGTACCACAGTGATTGCACGAAAGCTGCAGGTAGGAAATATCGCATCCCGTCCTCTTCCTTTGCATATCGGGAAATCGATATCGCGTTCACGTAACACTTGCTGCTCCTGTGAGAATCGACCAATACATGGACTGATCGCTGCAAATGGCATAAAGACGAATGGCATCATCCATGGTGCCGGTTGCATCCTGGACCTTGTGGAGTGCATCTCTCCAAAGCGATAGCCTCGAGTACACAACCTCCGCGAACACCGCTGCTATTGAGCCGCCTCGGCACACCGAAAAAGGGTTGCCCGAGAAGAAAACTTCTGGCACGCCAAAGCACACCAACCCATGGACCTCGATAAGTCGAGTCCATCGGCAGGAAACGAAGCGCAGGGANTCAATATGGAAGGGTCGAACTCTTCAGAAGGTACACGACCTTCTGCCTTATGGCGGAAAACTTAGGGTGGGATGGGTGACTGATAGGAATGGGCGCTTACTAAAATAAGTTACTATCATGTGCAGTACTCCCCCCACCCCACAAAATTGCGCGCATTCCCTGACCATTATTCTCCAATCCAGATTTGCAACAACGCAAAACTTCACCGTTTTTGTTAAAATTTACAGTAACTGTTTATGAATGGTTTTTTGGTTTGCAAAAGTTCCACAATTTTAGCAACAAGAGGTAGAATAAAAATAGCTCAAATAAAGTTGATGCCAAAAAATTGTGAAGAAATGCGACCCTTCCCAAAAACAAGAAAAAATTTGAGCCAAAAGATCCCATATTTGGAGAAAGCAACCAACTTTCTAGATTTAAATTACCCATGATTATGTACCCATGAATGAAAACAAATTCTGATTGAGTTGAATTTTACCGAAATGTTTGTTTTGTTTTTTGCTTGCTGAAATGCAGCATTATGCTCCTTTTGGTGCAATTTTAGGATTATGAAGGCAGTAACTCTGCGTTGCCAAACCTGGATTATTGAACAACAACCAGGAATCGACCTACCTAGGCAGCCCTAATGAATTTAAAACGCTGCTATAGCTACAGAAACCAAAAACAAAAAAGAACGACCTAACAAAACAAGCAAAAAAGAAACTAAAAAATAAAAAATGGTCTAAAAAAGCTTATAAGTGCCCTAATAAAGCGCCCATTTCTACCCGTCACCCCAACACTACAACAAAAAACATCATAATCCATCGAAGACGTCGACCGTGCTGGATGCTCTTCTTTATGATGAGTGGCTCATCTGGAAAATGTGGTAGGATATCTTGTTGAATTTGTGTAAAAGAGCGAGCCGAAAACGCTTACAATTTCCTTAGGCCGAACTGCTGACGAGGGAGGTTCCCCGGCCGCCATTCAGTCGCCCAGTACCAGCCCCCCTTGACGACCGTGCTGCTTTGTGGGTGGCGGGAGGAGTTTGCAGCGACGGTTATTTTAAAGTGCTTGTCAATACTGAAAAGTGAAAATATGCTACTGATCAGCTGGAAGGAACAAACAATGGTGGTAGTGAGTATCTGACCCTGGTTCTGGGCGATCGTTTTCTCTGCTGCTTCCTTGATCTTCACTAGACGTCGTATTTTAGATGGATATCAGGATGGACACAGCAACTGGTTACAAGGGGTCTCATTATGGACGACATGGTCTATCTGAATCTGTTGTTTAAGCAAATAGGGAAACGAGGGACAATAAATGGCGAGTGTGCATACCCTTGATCCCCGATCGGATCGCTTATGAAAGGATAGGCAACTGCTTATAGTCGAGCAGTCGGGACGGCGACCTGAACTAAGTCCGGTATCCATGGCAATTCAATCTTCTGAATTCCTCCATCCTCTTCTCGTTCAGGCAGTGGATCAAGTGCGTATAAAGGTGTTTGTTTGAGAATTCTGAGTCCCCTTTCTGATATTTCCGGTTTGACTTCACTTTCCGTGCAGTTCAATGCAAGCCTAAGGACTGACTCGCTCTTGACGCTGCAGTTTTGCTTTGCCAAAAAACAAGGAAATGCCCACGAAAATTTGAACGGTCAACTTGTTGTCGAGCGGAATCAATGTTCTCAAAAAAACCCAGGAACCTCAGAATTCATAAACTTTTTCCCCTAAACCACCTCCTTTCCAGACTCAAAAAACTTTCGAAAATGAAATATCAATGCATGCAAGATCCTGTCACCAACGAGAACCGAAAAAAAGTCTTCTGATAGAAAGAACCAAGTCTACCCACCAGGATTTCTGGCGGCTAATCAGTTTGGTGGTCCCGTCAACACTGTCCGGTCATATTCTTCCTTTTCTTCTCCTCCCAATCGCTATTCCACACAGTCGCAGAGCTCGTTACTCGTTTAGGATGCGGCTATTCTTCTTCATCCACTTTCGCTCAGTCGTCGCATATTCATATCCTTCGCTGGCCACAGGAGAACCGAATATTCCTTCTTGCCATTCATGGCCCGACTGCACTAAGTTGAGATGGCAAACACTTCTCTCGATTCTCGAAGTTGAGATGGCAAACACTTCTCGATGTCAGAACGATCCCAGCTCCGTCCGATCTGAAGCTATCAAAATAAATCAATTCCAGGCAAATCAAAGCCATAGGATGCAACATTTCCACTATTGATTTTGGATTGGAGCTAATGTTCTGACTGATTTTAAGGATCACTGTAAAAAAAATTTGGAAAGCACGCTGAACTGTGACATACCTCTGATCCCCGATTGGATCGTGGTGCAGTAGAAGCCAAAAAGATCGGGTGGAGTGGTCGAGCCATTTATGTAGAGAGAAAATGGGTCGGTCCAGGTGGAGACGGTGTCAACCTGAATCGGGTTCATTGAAAAAGTGGACACTGTAGAATCTTCATTAGTCACGGCTTACTTCTGATCCCTGTTTGGATCGCCTCACGACTGAGGTGTCGAACTAAGTTGACCACAACCACTGGAGTTTACTGTCTCCTTGTGCCTTAGACAGAAGAACTCGAAAACGGTTTACACAGCCATACGTGTATGTCGTAGGGCCATCCAGGGAGAGAATGGGCCGGCTCAGATGGAGACGGAGTCAACCTGAATCGGTGCAATGAAAAGGTGGGCGCTATAGAAGAACGTTATCATGTCGTACTTTTGATCCCCGTTCGGACCGCGTCACGACAGATACGTCGAAAAAAGTAGACCCGTCTCCATTGTACACTCGTGTTTTCTGAAGACGAAAGGTTTTCACAAGAGTTTTCCTTCTAGTGCCCAATGTACTGAATTCTGGTCCACGTGTGTAACGACCACTGTCAGGACTACTCAGTTTCCTCCTTGATTAAAACATCACTACACAAAACGACCATAACCATCACTCACTTGGCACCGATTACAGTGCCACCGAGGTTTCCGATCCTGTTTTCCTTGGTCGTCGATCCTGCGCCTTCACCTTGCCCATCAATTGTACCCCGATGGCCTCAGTCAAATATTGCAGTCAACTCTGTAAGATTAAGGGGAAAGCCCAAGAATCTGAGCCGAGAACACTACAAACAGATGGCCAAAACTAGTAAACTTCAGCATATCCTCATTGATGGGTCGCTCACCTCCGTAGCTACCGACACACCTAATGGGGAGCTCTGAGGCTTGCTATATTTGCCATCATTTGTGGTGTGCTCAGCATATCCGCCCAATTTACATAAAATAGAATCGCACACTTTCACATGCCCGACCAGCTTCGAACAGTTTTCGAATTATCTATTAAATTAAATGTAAAGAATCTGAGCTGGATTTACTGCAAACTTAGGACCCTCCCACTCTACTCGGATAAAAAACGTGTGCTAGTCGAACACTCAAAAGTGTGAAAGCGGCCTAGAAAATTTGCAAAGCGGGGGTTAGCCTAAAATCCGCGTTTTTGTCAAGACGGTCCATTCAGGTTGCCTTTCCAATCAGCGAGCACTTCACGTCTGGTCCACGGCATCCTAAAACACCGTCAATATTGTAGGAACACAGCCTGTCGCTATTCTACCTACTTTTTCACTGAGAAAAATGCAAGTTTTTGCTTATCCATTATTACTGCTTTTGTTCAACCCTTCTCAACGTTTGGGGTAGTTCCAAATTGAGGATGTTCATTCTGAAATAGAAGCATATTGAGATACTGTTTTCAAAAAGCCACAGAATAATTCGAATAGGAAAAATGGGAAAAAGGAATGGGATTGAACAAACTTTTTATGTTTTGTCAAACGACATTACGGTCAGCCATGAAGCATATTCAGGCTCCTTGAAAGGGACGAAGGCAGCTCATGAAAAATTCGGAAAATCTCATATCCAACGAAGTTACGCTCCTTTAACGTCGGAGTGGCTCTGGCTGACCCTTTCTGAATTGGAAATAAACATATTACAAGATTTGTAAATAAAAGGAGGGAGCCCGGATCAATATGCGCATTCCAAAAATCGATTGATAGATCCTCACATGAACGAAATGGTTTAAAAATATGAATGAAGCATATGCATATGCATAGCATACGAAAGAAAGCAAGAGTGTACTGATAGGTTTCTGGCCGTTCAAGTGCTGAAGTGTGATAGGACGTTTTGCTATCAGCTATCACAACACTTCTAAAAAAGGTTCACTAGAAACACTACAGCAATTCTGATCCGCTGGGTGAGGGGATAGGAAGGTCGATTTGAGAAACCGAACTAGGATGTGAGGAAGGATTAAGAAAAGTAAAGGAAAGTGTCAAAAAATCACCAAACTGCGAAGTTACGCGAGCAGGGGCCGACATCGATTTGATTTGCACCGCCCGTGATGGTACAATTGATCAGGTAGGGTCTACTTTGCCGAAAATAACTTTCGACAACTTTTTTCGTTAAGCTGCCCTTGAACACTCGACCGGATAGTTTGCTACCCAGTCTTCTGAACAAGCAAATAAATGGAAAGAGCGACTTCATATGACATATGAACAACTGAATAGTATGCGGAACAGCAGCTATTTTAGACCACTTCTAGTTACCCTGAGAGGAGAAAAAGCAGTGGCGTTACCGATGGCGTAGCAAAACGTGGACTTGCCATCAGTTTTACACACTTTTCTTCGTTTCACTGAGACCTCCCCTCGATTGAAGTAATAAGTCACGAAATGATTTCAGTGTGACTGGCTCATAGCTTCTGAAACACCTGTGAAGGCCCATACAATGAAACATTGAGCAATGGAGTTTCACCAGCCCTAGAGTTTCAACGTAACAGCAGTCTTCTAAGTCGTAAGGAACACATATCCACTGCCGGGTGCGATGGGTAGGAGCATGTGAGTATTTTCTGGAAATTGTAATCAATAGGACCATAGAAACATTACTCGATATGACGGTGCTGCTGCTGTTCAGTAAACTTTAACCAAGTCGCCATTGGAGCGTTAACTAGGAGATGAGTTTATATATTTATTTGGCCATCTCGAGCATCATCGGCCAAAAGTTTTGGCCGCTACGCTCAGAATTCAGTAGGATAGAGCACCATCTTGCCAGTAAATCTCCGTGTATCAGTAAATTGTTGGCACGTCATGCTCGAGCTGTTCAGACGATTTTGTGTGCTGCAATCCCAAGAGTGATGCTTGGGTGATTGAGATATAAGAAATTTTATAGTCGAAACCATAGCGAACTGGACCCCTTTGAAGCGCGAGTTTGCCCGAGTGGCATCTTTGACATGGAACTGAAACTTAGGTTTTTCTTAGATAGTTACTTTTGTTTGCTCATATTTTATTATCTCATGTTTTTTACTTCTTGAATGTTATATCTTTTTCTGTTGGTTTTGAAGTTGTGGACTATTTTGGTTCTTTGTTTTTAACGAAATTGATTATTTTATCACCTTTTATTGTTTTTTGCCAACCCTAATCAACTGATGAGCCTCGGGGTTGGGAAAAAACAAAGTGGTTCGTCTGGATATAAGAGGCGAAGCGAACCACCAAGTAAGTTTTTAAACTAATTTGGTTTGATGTTACTTCCCTTTTTCATAATGGAACTTCTTTCCGCTGTTTTACGCTGTCTCATCGCCAACACTAGGGCAACTTCTACTAACAAAATGTAACAGTAAGTTGCATTTTGTTGCATGTAGCCTTTTTATTTTCTGTTTTCTCCTCCATTAGTGAAGACCTGAGTATGAAACAACTCTAGTGAGATCGATATCCAGTCGTAATACGGGATTCTGGATGGTTTTGTTGAGCTGCACGACCCCAAACTAGGAAACATACATCTGAGAGAGAGAGTGAAAATAATGTTTTTTCAAAAGGGAGTTGATCACGTGAAGACAAAAAAGCAGAAAGAGAAAAAGTAAAGACAACATGAGAATGGCACCTTGCTCATCAATCAGTTCACTGGGAGCAAAGTCCAAAGTGCACACCAGTCGATGGTGCGCAACTGCCTTCGACTATGGGGCACATTAGTGAACTTGAAAAATAATGGCCGCTAGAGCCTACTAAGCTAGAACATCTCAGATTTCCAAAATAAGAAACAAAGCATGGATGCTGAAGAGAATAAAGCCTTTCAGAGCCCAAATCGAAAACTCCTGCGGTCAAAATCTCAGTGATAGCTGCTCTTGTTGGGTACCACTTTGAAGCTATTCGAATGAATCTTCAATATGATTCTCTCAAAGTAAGTGGAGTGAAATGGATTCGGGCTAAGTGTGCCACCTATCACAAAAAACAACTACCCCGGCTTCTTCCTGTCACGCATTACCCCGTGGTTCATACCCTTCCTGAGAAAATGCATCCAAGACGGGTTGAAATGTGAACTGGGCTGCACCTAATTCCTTTTCAATGAATGTCTTTTGGCTAGAGAGCTCATGAAAAGATAGAAGAAACGAAAAAATGAAAACGAAGAAAGATGATGAAAAAGAATCAGAAAACGAAACAAAGCAGGTATTCTATGGTCGGGTAGTCCCATCATGCTGGCTTTTAGATTGGAAGCACAAAAAAAGGTTTTGGAAAAAAAGTACAAGCGATTCTGGGGTGAATGATCTTCGAATACTTTTTACTCTCCATTTTTTTTTTGAAGGTGTCGGAGCTTACATTATCAGGATGAATAACTAGACATGACAACTTCAATACGAGGTTCAATAAATCAGACTCTGGGATACTTGTGTGAGGACAAGCCTATGACAGAAAGAGTCTGCATGATATCCAAAGGTAGCGAAAAAGGTACAAAAATGGCTCCATAGACGTAATCGAAATAAATAAGAGAACTAGACGGAGGACAAGCTGTGTGTAAATATGTCGAAGAAAGGCAAAAGCAAATATGAAAATTTCAAAAATAATCCAATAATCTGAACTGCTATAAAATTATGCGGTAAAAATGAAGCGATTCGGCATGGATGATCTTTCAAGCAAAACTGACGATTAGCTGTGACAGCTAAGGATCAAGCAATGACGATATGTCATCAAATAAAAGAAAAAAACAATATAATTAATTTTAAAAAAATTTAAAAAAGCTGTTTATTCGGGGCAGGCGTAGGAGACCGCACACCGACTCGCAGCGCACATCTCTTTTCCCGCCTTTATCGACCACCCAGCTACCCCCTACAGCCTTTGCCATAGTTTGATTAGCTAAACTACTCGTTTCACCCAAAGTCAAGTACAATACATACACAGTTAAGTACATTACCATAAAACGTATTAGCTGTGCTGGTGGTCTTGAAAAGGCACTGGCAATTTAAATTGTTTAAAAATCGGAAGGGTGCAAAGTACGATGATAATGAAGATGGTCCGAATGTTCCTGCCACCCCTGAATTTTCCGGACTTTGCTGTTTGGCGTAGCGGTTCTGTTCCCACCCCCCACCCCTCCCCGAACGTGAAATCCTGAAGAAATAAAATCCGTCGACTACTCGGACCATCAGATTTGGATACGTTGGACGATGAAGTTCCTGGCATGCCAGGCCGAGGTTTAAAAAAATTCTCCAAAAGGTGCTAGCTGATGAACGTTTCAGGACATCCCACTTACGACTTCCTCACCAAATCATATTGGAACTCTACCACGTATGTACAGTGTTCATGTCGAAGGATCCATTGAGGCTTCGGAAAGTTGAAGTTAGCAGCTCGCAGCCCCCACCTAGTCTAACAAGCAAACCTTCTCTGCTGGCAGCCCACTTTCTGACTCGATGCGCAACCCAACGGTAAACTGGTCCCGTTACCATATCTGCTTGCGAGGTATGAAACCAGAGGTGGGTCATTCACCTGGGAGTCTTGAAGTCCTCGGAGGAGCGAGGTAGGGTTCTTCTTGCCAACCGTTGGCGATTATGGAATGGTGCATTTCTTGAACAGTTTTCAATTGCGTGCGCTCGGTTCAAAAATGTCTGGTTATTTGGTTCATACTGTCATCCAGTACTGCATTCCCTTTACCTTCATACTGTTCTCTGTTCTCTTTTGTTCAAGGTTTGTCATCAACAAAGCAACCCTAGATACATCTCCGAGGACTTCAAAGCCCCCAGGTGTGTCATTCACATCCGGTTCCAGTTTCGCACGTCTCAAGCAGAGATGGTAACGGGATCAGTTTACCGTTGGGTTGCCCATCGGGCCAGAGAACAGGTGTCAAAAGAGGAGAGCTAAATGAAACTCCAAGGCACCCTAAAAATTGAAAGAGTAGTCATTCCGATTTCCACGTGTTGTGGATGAAAATGGCCGATATGTAGTTAGATTGAGTGGGAACCGCAAGCTGCTAATCTTCAACTTTCCGAAGCCTCAAGGGATCCTTCCACATCAACACTGTACGTACATAGTGGAGTTTAAAGACTGAAGCGTTATGATTTGGTGAGGAGATCGTAAGTGAGAAGTCCTGAAACACTCAAGTTAAGAGTTACGTAGGGAATTTACTGTGTTTCGGAATTTACACTTTATGCAAAGCTCTTTGGTAACCTGATTCGCAGGTATGGCTTGGTTGCGCTCTCATGCGTAGACTAGAGCAGAAAAAAAAGCGGTGTAACGCCGCAATTCCGAACTCGTCACTTCCTCGAAATGGGGTCTTATCCGCTATGCCATGAAATCACATTGACTAGGCTACGACAGATTGGTAAACTGGTTGATGGCCGCTGAAGTATACCTTGGCCTACCCAAGCTGTTCGATGGGCCGGCAGACCATTCGGCTCAGCAGGACCAAGCCCACATCCCAACATTGGAAGGAGTGTGGGCTTGGCCCTGCCAAGCGGGATTGCCCACCTGCCCGTCGGACGAGCGGATAGTTTGAGGAGCAGGAGGTACTTTTTGGTACTGTTGAGTGATTTACTACTACATCGAAGAAGGAAGTGAATCCCAGGCCTTTCCTGTTCTACTTGAAAATTTTCTTTGATTTTTGGGTTGAACAATTAGCCGCACAACCAGCTTAGGAGCCCCCGAGCTTCAACATCCCTGACTCTTCAGAACTTTACAGTCTGGAAGGAGATGTTTCTACCCCCCATCTGTTGTGTCTGCTTCGTATCACGTACGTCCTGGGTTTGTTAATGGAAATCTCTAGATGCCAAGGGACAGAGAAATGTACAGCCGGAGATGGAGCAAATAGAGATCAGACGACGGTTAAGACCGAATAGACCGTTCACCGTACTACTTTTTTCTCTTCCAACGATTTTTCTTTACTTATTTCACAAAATAGGATCACATCAATACTACATGGAAATATTTAAAATTGCCGATTGCCGGTTTGCTCTTGTGAAGACGATAGGGGAAAGCGGGTAATTGGGAACAATCACAGGTTCAAAGAAGGACTATATCGGTATTGCACTGTGAATGAATGAACAAATGCGTAAGGAAGAAAAAGAATGATTAAATACGAGTTGAACGTATTCAAAGGAGTAATACACAACAGCCAACAACTAGACATTTTCTAGAAATCAATAAAATCTTTCTTAAATCGAAAAAAGCGACAATTATCAATCAATAATAGGTGGATTCGGGTCAGCAGACAATCGGCAAGACAATTAAAGCATATTTTTGAACGGCATAAGGACAAGTAAAAAAATGGGGGGGGGGGGNGGGGGGTATACAGTAATGCAATAGTGCGCAGAAAAATGCAAACAACAAAGATTCAGGTACAGACAAAGGAAAAATCACGCTCACACACATACACACAAACACGCATTAAGGACAAAGTCTTCTCGATCAATCAATAAATCAATAGTTAATAAATACTCTTCTAATGGCTACCGTAATTGAAGATGATTAGATGTGAGAAATCAACATTTAATGAACATAAGAAGAATGCACAAGAAGGGAGAAAGAAAAGCCAGCCGAGCAAAGCCGAGCCACATGCAGAGGGGGTACACGGCAGTTGAGACCCTGCACCCCCTCATTCTCGGGACATCTCCAATTAATAAGCTTTATGAATGAAATTCCGATTGAATCTAAGTAACAAGTTTCGATCTAATTTTTCCGGTTTGTCCAGATGTGAGAGTATGGGAATGGGATCCGGTTTCTGGAATGGTGACGCACCACGTGAGGACAGCAGTGAAGCGGCAGTGACCGTAGCCGACGGAATGGATAGGAGTTCGAGGGCCAGATTGGCCAACGTTGGACATCGCTGCATACAGCCTTGCCAGAATACCAGTGGCGTCTGAAGCGGATTGCCAAAGGAACGCAACGGCGACAGCAGGGCTTCGGCTGTTGACTGAAATCGTGAGGATTAAGAAATATTGGAGAGGAAATTTAAAGGACAATTTTGACAGCGTCAGGCAAGGTGCTGTAAAGGCTGCGAGTTCCCCCAGTATTGTTTATTGTTTCGCCTCAGGTTCGAAATTCAGCAGGGTTAGCAAAACGTTTCGGATCTACAGTTCTCAGTGTACCAGCAGTAGTGTAACTGAGCGTGGAGCAAAATGTGGCTATTCGGCCCAGTACATGTTCAGTTACCTCAAAGAATCACAATATTGGGCGAATGCATGGCGCATATCAAAGAGATCCACCAGGTGCCCATTGTGATAAACTCTTTACAAGAGTTCTTATTTGAAAGGATGTCTTCATCGCGACGGAAGGGAACTCTTCAGAGGACTGAACGAAGTCCCACTGCAGTGGAATCGGCCCATGACGTAGAACCTGCGATGGGGGATCGTATTTGGACGGGCCATCCGGGAGTGAAAAGTCATAGCAATGACTGGTAGCCATTTGGCGCAGAAACTTCGAAGGTATTATGACATTGCCCGAGCTGGTTAAGAGGCCGGGGGAGAAATTTTTGAAATACAGTCATCAGATTATCTGCAACCGGGTTGGTCTAGAGAGCGGGGCGAATAGTCATAGCAATGACTGGTAGCCATTTGGGTTGGTCTGAGAGCAGACTGGGACTATTAGCTGACGCGCTAACGCTGGCTTTGAACGATATCCAAGTGTGAAAAGAACAAACCCCGCTGATCAGCTCGTCAAAGTAGGATGACAAAGCGGCTTCAGTGATCCGATCGCGCATCGGTTGAGCGTTACGTTCCTGAAACATTTTGACTTGAGCTAATGAAAGGGACCCATTTACTGAAAATTCCTTGTAAATGATCTAGACAGCCTCTGACTAGTTCTCCATAGCTACTGATTAGGTGTCGCCGTCTGACTTGGCCTTCAAATTCGACAATTCGTCTCACTTGAGGCTGCTCGCAGGAGAATCGGCTACCCAACTCTTTCATACCAATTACCCCAAGTGACGCCCCTACCTGTTGCAATCGTTGAGCCTGCTGAAGTAAGTCCGTATACAACGGCAAGGAATCTGGTGACGACGATAAAACCGATGCCAGAAGTGCGTCCATGGTAAGAGAAGAAGTGGGTGTCGGCTGGCGTGAGTGTAGCTGAAATTGACTTCTTATAACAATGGAGGATGAGTGACACCACCTGAAGAAACGTCAAGCTAATCGAAAGGCTATTACAAACCTCTTGCTCAATCGCAGATCTAGCATAAGATAACTGCTGCTCTGTCAGAAGCACAGCAAGCTGAGGATTAAGGGCAGTCGCCTGGAAATCGATTGAATCACCGTAATGTTCCGAGCTTTTTGATAAAGTTGAAGCTCACCTGGATATAAGTCCCATCGAATTCCTCATGGTTGACGTCTATAATGGACGCAAGCCGTTCAGTGACGACATTTTTCAACTGGCTGGCCAATACGCCGAGATCCAGCGAGTCCTTAAAGATTGTCATCTTGGAATCAGAACAATCCTGAGATTGTGTACGGGTGTTTATACATATGTATGTGTGTATGTGTGTGTTTTTGCGAACCTTATCGAGAGCATGAGTGATTTGCTTGATAGCCGGCACTACACCATCCACCGTCGGACATTCACCCTCGGTCAGTCCATTACCGTATTGGCGAAATAGCGCTGAGGCGTTGCAGATGCCGCGTAATTGGTTCCTGAAATCGGAAGAAAATAAAAAGTCAGTACTCCCCAAGAGCCTCTAATGTTTTTCCAAACAAGGGAAATTTTGATTCTTTTTGAAAAGCCTTATGAACACATTGGATACGTGCCATTCCTACAACATCAGAAACGAAACGAAATGAGGGGTGAAAGTAAATTTTAGTCAATTGTGAAAGCGAATTTCATTTATGTATTCATAATTGTGTGTTTATGATCGCTGTATTGAACAATGAACTTCAACTTCTCTCTATGCGTTCCAATCCAATCTCCTGTCACCTTTAACCACCCATCACAAATTTTGGGGCAGAGGTGGTGCAGTGGCAATTGGCGCACTATAGCACATGAACGATTACGTGTTCGAATTCTGGGTAAATATCCCTGCAGGTCGATCAATCAGTACCATGCTCATCTTGGAGGTTAAAAACACTGACTAGGACTCAGACGGGACAGATTAACGCCCAGAAACATTATCCTTTTTATCCCTCTATCAGGAATTCTACCAACACTGCGGAACGTGGATAAATTAATGTGTTTCAAAATCAAAACCTTTTCTCTATTGCTGTTGCTACCAAATTAAGGCCTGTCTACAGTAGCGAGTGAGTTCCCACGGGTATAACAACTCTAATTCATGGTGTGCCCTCAGAAATTGACCTTTCGAAGCAGGAGAGGAGGTAAAGTACACAATTTTCATGCCCATAAATTGCAGGGTCACTCCTTGCGCAAGGGTGTGCATGTATTCTCGAGACCGTTCCTGAACACCACTACTTGGTATAACTAGGAGTGGATTGCAGGATAGCCTCATAAGATTTCGATCCCGAACTGAAAGGGGGGGGGGGGGGGGGGGGGGGGGATAGCGCGATCTGTAGACACTATTTGAAAATAAGAACGTGTCTAGCGATTAAAGCAAAAGTTAAAGCGATTACTGGGAGGATATAGAGCAACTAAACCTTATGAAGGTTATATGACTCAGTGAGTGGCAAGTGCTCGTGAATCCCTTGAATATCCGAGCTCATGAACACTGCACTAGCTCTGCTTGTGCAGCTAACAAGAACGCATTCAGCCCAATATCCAAGGTTGTTGTCCTCTTTTAGAGAGCACAGGGTGAGTACATTGATCAGTTTAGTCCCCATCTAAGGTGGAACTGAAGCTAATCGATGTTTTTTGATTGCCTATCCCCTTCCATTATTTGACTCAATTTCTTTATCTTAATAACTATTTAGTTATATTGAATCGAAAGGGCAGCGTCCATGATTCCTCTCATTTTATCACTTCTTCATACAAGTGGATTGGTGAAGAATAAAGTTTCTTTGGAAGCACTCGTGTGAGAGCTCATTCATTAGCAAAGTGGTTTATTTCTGGAACGACACCCCGTTTCCGCGAGAACAAAGAAAGGACTTAATCAAAAGCTAAATGTCATTTTCGACATAGGGCTGAGACGCACGCATAATAGTCGAAAACATCTAAGCTAATCATGCTAAGTGGCAGCTAAGCCATAACTGTTTTTCTACTTTTTCTGCCTTGTCAACATCATCGCTGCCCTTCCGAAAGGTTAAGCTCATCCCGCGGCAGCTCCTAAAGGTAGTTTTCCCACTTATTTCATAGGCCTGGACTGGATTATAATGTGAAAGCACAAAAAGAGGGAACTTACCGAAGCTCTGAAATACAAGGTCTTTCTTAAGCCATTCTTGGTACAAGCTGGGCTTCTAAAGGCAAGTTACGATAAAAATGGTTTGTGATACCTCTCCCTAATATGAATCTGTGACCCCAAGGATAGAGCAAGAGAAGCTCTCAGGTCGAAAAACGGTCTAGATAGGACGTGATAACTGCACCAAAACCGGCTCGGTCGACGTGCACACCCAAAGGTGGACGAGTTTTCTCGGCTTTGTGAAGGCTGTGGAAATTGCATACCATTTGCACCGGGATGCACATATTGCACGTAAGCAGCTTGTTGTAGCCAGCTGTATACGATGGGACTGACATATTTGGACAGCTCGTCCAAATACCCCTTACATGAAACTTTTGCCGTCACATTCTCACCCAATCCCTAATTTTACTGCTTTTTTGAAGCCTTATATATCTCTAGATACACCCATTTTTGCGTTTTCTTCGCCTTTTCTGCTTTATTCTTATTGATTTTTATCAAAACATGGCATTGCTGAAACGGCAAAGGAGAAATAGACAAATGTGGAGTTTATCTACCCAAATAACCACATAAACAGGCGTAACGAACACCCATCAAGTACGGGCCACGCTCATCCGCAAAAATTATAAGCCCGGTTGCCCCTTGTGGTGAAATCCATCTTGTGTCGCGGGGGCTCCAGAGAGCTGAAGGACCTCTTCACCAAGAAATATCTTTGAACAAGCCAAGCGCTAACACCAGCCGGTGCCCCGCAACTCGAGCTGACAATTCTTTACTCCCCTCTTATCTATAATCAACTAGCGTGCTGCCTTCTGACAGGCATCTAGGAATTATATTGCTACATGGAGATAATATAGGAATTAATGGACGGTTCATCTAAGGAGTAATCATAGTAAGTAACTATGAACACCCACTGCCGCTATAAGCCCCGACAATCAGGTATACCACTTGAGATTATCTCTAGATAAGTTCTCGCAAAAAATTCAACGCTGAAAACATTGGCTTTCACCATTAGAATATCATGTTTACTGAGATAAGAGCCGCTCGTTCTCGTTATCCGATGGCACTTTGAAAGTAAGCCGCTTGTGCTTCTTCCAGAGATGTTAAAACCATAGCGTTTTCGCACCTACGCAAAGCATGAAACTACTTATATTCTGAGCTAAGCCTCATCCTCTCAAACCAGTTTGGACTTACTAAGAGGTTCCTAAAAACTAGGGCTGAGAAAACGTACCCGCAGCAACATTCACGAAGTATGTAACATACTTAGCCGCTGCTCTTCACGATATATCACCACTTCAATCCAACCCAAACATACAAAATGGTTCACTGAGAAAAACATATCCAGTCTAAGTTTTTCAGACCGACTAGTATTTTGGCCTAGCAAGTTCACGTCTTCAGTCTGAGTTCAAAGTGGCTACGGATTCAGACATATAGCACATCATTGGGGGTGAAAAACAGCCGATAGAACAAATCCAAGATTTTAGATTGAAAACTGGACTTTTTCAAAACAAAATTTCATACAGTCATACAGGGAAAACATTCGTTTCACACTCGGACATGGCACTCACCATTGCTCGTCGCTAAGGCGAGCTATCGAGGCATCATTAGACACCTGGTCGACAGCATATTTGATGTTCATGACCGCTTCAGCCAGTACTGGGAACGGCTCACTCAGCGGCAAATCCACTACCCGTCCTGAAATCTGTAGCATTGAGAAACGGTTAGCAAAAAAAGTTTATAAAATATTGAAAACTGTTCAAAAGTCAAAAATTAGTCGCCCACTAGTTCTAATAACGCTATGGCCTACTACTAACACTCGGTTAGCTTGTCAGTTGTTACTTGAGAAGGGGAATGGAGGATTTCAAGGCATGATGATTAACTTTTGGCGACTTTTCCCGCCTATCAGAGTTTTTCCCATCAAGAAATCATAAGATTTGCTAAACAAACAGTAGTCAGAAGGAGGAATACCAGAGCTGAGGGGTGGTGATGCTCAGTCACAGCTACAGCTCTTCCCCTCGGCCGGGAACGATCAGAAGTGAGGATGGAACACGGAGACAGACAGCTGACTTCCTTAGGTCCCATGCCCCTGTGTGAGGAGAATCCATGAACTACTAGAATGCTGGTGACAGGTAACGGACACCATAGGTGCTTGTCTCCCGCCCGTTGTCCGTTCCAAAGTACTCTCCAGCTACCCGCGACAAGCGTCTTCCAAAGAGAAATTCAACCAAATCTCTTGATCCCTTACACACCTGCTGCCTTATTCAGCGCCTGCAACGATTCTGGCCGGGTGACAAAACCGAAGATCATCTGGTAGACGCTTTTTCGCAATTCGTCAATTGCAGGATTCGATTCGAGAAAATGCGTGAAGCATCCCATAATCCGCTGACTGAACGGTTCCATCTGAAAACAAACACATCAATCAGTAGAAACTACGGATCCAAACTAAGGTACCTACCTGTTTGTCCACGACGCTGCCGTAGTCATCCTCTAGCAGTTGCTTCAGTCCGGAACATACTACACGAGTAACTTTCTCCTGCGGCAGGTCGTAATCGGACAGGACCTGAAAGAAAACGATCAGGTGAAGCCAAAGGGAGGACTCGAACCATTAGACTCACCTGATCGATCGTCATCGCAATGGATTCTGACGTATTGTCGGCTTGAACAAGTGGACGGAAGCCGAGCAGGATGACGTGCACCTGAGATAGGGATGAGATTATTATTCGTATTCAACCAAGCTCAATCTCTTCCTTACCTCATATTTTTGATTGATAAACGCCGGAAACGCCGCTGAGACGCATAATCTGAACAGAGGCTCATCGGAATTCGCAGATGGAGCCAGACGGACACAATCCACCAGCACCGACACACATACTGCCGAGGCTAGTAAGGCACGAATCGATTGCAAAAGACGAAGGTGTAGGGTGGAAATCAGCTGAAATTACTTCGTTGGACGAGTTTCGCTGGTGCAGGTCCCTTGGCCCAAGGCCTGATTCTCGATATTTTACCATTTGATTGAAACGTCCGCCCATATAGGCTCAAAGGTTCCACAACAAGAGTCTCAAGAAACTGACCTGTTCAAAGTACTGGGGATCGTCGTTCAGAGTGAACTTCGGTTGTGCAGCTTCAAGTAGCTCCTTCCACAGTGGATTGGCCAGAGCTTCAGCGGTGAGATGCGAGGTGGTCAACGCCAAAGCCAACCGCTGTTCAAGTTCCCGTTGACGTCGCTCATCTCGTCGCCATTTTTTAGACTGCATTATCTGTCCCGACGAATTGATTGTGAGTCCTGCAAATACACAAAATCAATAAGCAGTCATCGATCGATACCGATCCATATCCGTCCTACCAGTCGATAATCTTACCTGCTTGTTGCAACATTTGATTTGCTGCTTGTGCCGCATTGATATTGGCCGAGGACGTCGGTATTTGCGGATTAAGCATCATTTGGAAGGGATTCACCGTTTGCATGAGATTGTGTAGTAGGCCAGCAGGCATTGCTGGAGTGCTGTTGCGCAGTGCCGCCATCAGATTACTGTAAAAATACTTGAATTACCCTTTTTTGGTAATTCCCCAATCTCTCCAAAGCCCTGGAAAAGAACGTGTTATTCGTGGTATACTGGTGGGCGCAGTTGTGTACCAACTTCTATTTTGCCAACCATTACTCGATTGGGTGGAAATGTATTCGGGGAAGGGGAGGGGGACGGGTATTCGATCCCACAGTGGTGCTTAGGACCATTTATAATCAAGCCTTGGAAGGGAAGGAGCCACTAGGAAGACCGAATGGGTGTCAACTCCTGAGTGTTCAACTCTCCCATCCCAGCTTTTTGCACAAGGTGATCGTCCCAGGTTGCACCCCAAAAGGGTACCTAGGCCTTCGTGAAATAAGTACACAAACAAGTAAATTTTCAGTTCGATTACTCCTACCGCCACACACCTCACGTCTGGTTTTGTTTCCTTCTTCGGTTTCGATGGTTTTGGGGCAGGGGTGTTATTGCTGGTGGATGACGAGTTCGATCCACATGCCGATGAAGATGGCGATGATGGCAATTGACCGCCATAGCGTTCACGAGTATAGTCAACCTAGAACATAATTTGAAATCGAAGTTAGACATTGATTTCCTTACGTGTTTGCGCAAGGGTGGAGGTGTAGCAGCAAGTGGCGCACTTCCCACACATGCTCACGGGTTCGAATCCCAGTCGATATCCGCCTAGGCCAACCAAGCCTTCCATCCCTCCAGGATCGGCTAATTGGTACCAAGCTCGTATGGGAGGATAAAAGCACTGACTTGTACATCGGCTAGCCACCGTAAGTCATTGTATAGGCCACATACGCACTCATTACGCCACTACGATTCTGAATGGAAGGCGCATCCTCCAGACGGGATGGATTAACGCTCAAGGAGTTTACGCTTTTAAGTTTACTTCCAATCAGCAGAATTCTGTCGCATTCATTCCGAAACAGGGTATGAGCTTTAGGACAATACGTGCTTATTCATTGACTTACGGGAAATGGAACGATCGTGGAATAGATTTTGTGTTCACTGCGACTTTTTGACTCGTCCCATCAGTCTATGGTCCTTTAAGGAAACATGTATATCTCAATCCGATAATGGATGACCAGGGGAAGCCTTTCTTGTATAGCTTTACATCAGCCAACATTCTTCACTTCTACCCAGTATCCTGCATTCTAGTCTCGAGAACCTTTCCACAGTTCAAATGTAGTACCAGTAGTCAACAAGCCCACGCAACCAGACCCCTTCACTTACCTTCAGCTTTTGGAATTCAGCGTATTCGGCCGAATGTTTCTTCAGATGACAAGCCAAGGTACTCGTGTGCGGCCCTTTCAAGCTGTATGTACAGTCGCCGATTATACACCTGTAATTGATCCAGTCAATTAGATTACCTCCGCCAGTTTTTTTTTCGCTCTGAACATGAAGTGGGTGGATTCGCGATCTGGAATAACCGAACACTCGATAGCTTATTGAATGGTAGATTTTGGCTGTGGGAATATCTTGTTTCCCCCAGCAAAAATGGGGTACTTATAGTTGAAGATGGATATATGGGAATCTCAGCCGTGTCCTGTAAAGCCTCGAATAAGATTCTAAAAGTTTCTATTTCGATCTATTAGGATGTGAAGCGACTTTGACGCGCCGACGGCTACGGCATGCTCCAATCAAACTAATTGCCCCGGTTCTAACGACACCCACAACGCAATGGCTGCTTTCAAACTTCAACGATTCATCCATCCCTCCGTCCAGTGCGTTGCGTACGTGCGACGGCAACCCCAGCCACTTGTTCACACGTGTTCCAGTGATCCACTGTTGTGAACAAGTGGCTAGGGGCGCCGTCGCACGCACGCAACGCGACCGGAACGCGCCGGACGGACGGACGTCGAAGTCTGAAAGCGGCCAATTACCCGGATCGCATGGCTTTTCAAAATTATTTCATTCATTTCAAGCTACTCCCACTACTGACCTGCTCAGGTTCTCTGCTTTATTGTAAACAAAATACTTCCAGACAGGTGTCTGTTTGTTGGTGCCACCGGATCGAATGGCTGCAGCTGGATTTCGATGCCAACTCCAATCATCCTAGAATACCGAAATTGATTATCAATATTAGTTAATATCAAAGGCAATAGCTGTGCTGTATTATTAGTATAAAAGCCGTACGTCAGAAAACAAAGGAAAAAGAGTGAAGTTCTCAGCGTTGAGCAATCCCCTCTCGCACTCGCCTCGTACTCGTCTTCCACTCTGAAGCGTACAGGCAATTGATAGCGAATGTAGCCCAGACAATGATTTGAAAGGGCCTTCTTATTAGAAATAGATTCTTTGAGTGGTCATATATTCCTTCTGAGTAGCTGGCTGGCTTCACTTTTTGTTAGTCTTACCATCTCCGATGTGCCGTCCATACTCGTTTAGTTCCTCCTATCACTATCAATTCAAACTACTCAGTTAGACAATCATTTCCGCTTTTATTCTAGTCATCCGAAGCTAATAATGAAGATCTAATAGGTTTCTTTTTCTAATACTTCTCTTGCGATGAGTTTTTTCTACTTACCTCTGAGAAGAGTTGTGCGGCTGGTGACTGCGCAACGGCAACCGAACCAGGAATCGGTGCTGGCACTGGCGATGCCGGTACCGAAGGCAGACGAGGTGGACGAGAGATCTCATCTAACTAAATTGGAGGAAATCAGTAACAGCTCTAAATGCATTTTCTTGTTCACGCATGGCTTAGTTGGCAATACGAGAAAAGTTCTGAGTTCGTGGGATCCGTCATGCACATTGGCTTCTATTTGGGTTTCATAGAGATGAAATCTTCAGAAGCATATGGGTTGCTTAAGACAAATAGTCCTTTCTTTTTTCTGGGATTGCTCCTTTAAAGCGTTTCAGAACCAGTAACACCCCTCGAACTATGTATTCGTACTCTGAAACCGACAAGGCTGTGGGACAAACGACTGGCCAAGTCTACGAGACGTAGTGGACTCTCGGTAGTCTCCGACTCGGTGGACTTGTCAGTTCCCTTTAAAATAAGTTTTTAATGGAGTAAACTCTATTCAATGCAGTACCCTAGAGGTACCTCGGAGAACTTGTAAACAAGTCGATGAAAATAATTCTCATTAGTTGTCCCAACGCCATACGTACTTTCATGAAGGACCCGATTCTTCTTCGAACAACTGATTCTAGAAACCATGCGCTCAAGTACAACCGAGCTTCTGCTCTGACAATTCGATGAAGTGAAGATTCTTGTTGAATCACTTGCCAAAAATCCTTATGTTTACCAGCCATGAAAATGCATTGCAGTAATTGAAGGCTTGAGCCGATGCTTATATTCCATGTGTGGTTTCTCATAATTCTCGGATACCATAACTGATAAACATGGTGACTTCGTTTTCGCCTTGATCCCTCTACAGCTCTAATGCCGCTCGATGATCTCTTGTCAAAAAAGCACTTGCAGAGCATTCGTCCACAAGTGGACAACTCGCAGTC